CGACTGTGCCCTCCCGCCCCCCTGTGCCGCTTCTGCCTGTTCCCGTGTATGCGTGCGTGCGTGTTGCCAGGCTGTGATCGCGGATCTGCCTCGGGACAGCCACCCTATGGGCGTGCTCACAGGGGCTCTCTGCGCGCTCTCCTCCTTCCACCCTGATGCCAACCCCGCTCTCCAGGTGCCGTGGTCGTGACGTGCCTGTGCTCGTTTTACAAAAGAGATTTCTTACTTGCTTTAGATAATGTTACCAATTCACACTTCCCCAGTCTTTTAAATTCACAGAATCAGCCTTAATGTGGACAGGTGTTGCAGTCGAGTCGACTCACGAGCCCACGTCTGAACGTAAAACATCCCATCGTTGCGGCATGCCGCTGTGCATGCAGGGCCAGGACCTGTACAAGTCCAAGGCCGTTCGCAACAAGCAGATTGTGCGAGTCCTCGGCAAGGTAAGATTGGTAGCCAAATTGCTTTTCCTCCCTTGGAACAACGCAAGCACAATCCGGTTCTCTCTTGGCGTGCGGTCACCTGGTGCTTGTTAGTGCTTGTTAGTGGTTGTTGGTGGTTGTTAGTGACGACCGCTCGTTTGTGATATGTGAGGTGCCTCACAGCAAGTTTCAAGCAACGGGACGTGTCTCTCGTGGCCCTGTTCTTCTTTGTCTTGGGGCCAACCAGGTGCTCACCATCGCACATTTGTCTTGTGTGAGGCGCCTCACTGCACGTTTCAGCTTCTGATCAGCTGGGCCGCATCTCTCCCTTGTCCTGTTCCCTTGTGTCTCTTGTCTCCGCCCACCAGGTGCCCACCATTGCAGCAGCAGAGCAGCATACCTGCCCCTGGCGGGGTGCCTCCTGTGTGTTGCCTGTGAGGGGTCTCAACATTCGTTTCAACTGAAGGAATTGTATCTTCTGTACCCTGCTGTCTCTTGTCTCCGCCCACCAGGTGCCGACGATAGCAGCAGCAGCGTACCTGCACATGGCGGGGCGGCCTCCTGTGGCACCGGCAGGCCACCTGTCCTATGCTGAGAACTTCCTCTACATGCTCGACTCCATGTGAGCACATACCGTTAGTATAGACCCATTTCATGAGTTCTTCTTATGTCTTTTAGTCAACCTTAAGAGTTGTTCCAACACTGAACCACCATTGAAAAAAAACTCTCTGGAACTCCGTTTCCTGCACGGTGCTGTTAAGTGTCGGTCCGTATCCCTTTGCCGTTTGCTGTGCATGTGGATGAATAATGTGTTCCATCGCTCTGCTCTGTGCACCAGGGGTGACCGCTCGTACCGGCCACACCCGAGGCTGGCGAGGGCGGTGGACATTCTCTTCATCCTGCATGCCGAGCACGAGATGAACTGCTCCACTGCTGCCGCCCGCCACCTCGCCTCCAGGTGCTGCCCTTGCTTGCTTGCTCTCCTCGCCTCCAGGTGCCTTCTTTCTGGCTTGCTCTCCTTGCCTCTAATTGCTTGCTTGCTTCCCGCTTCTCTTCCCACCCCCATCTGCGTTTTGTCCCTCTTGTTGTCTAGCACCCATCACACCTCCCCCATTCCTCTTTAGATCTTTTAAATTGGTTGATGTTGGAAAACGTTATTTTTGTCCTTGACCTCCCCCTCCCTCTCCCTATCTCCCCCATACTCCTCTGCAGTGGAGTGGATGTGTACACAGCATTGGCAGGAGCTACTGGTGCTCTGTACGGCCCGCTGCATGGTGGGGCCAACGAGGTGAGTCCCACCCACTCTGTGGATGCTAACAACGGACAAGCGCTCGCACTCACCATGTTTTCCACAACGTAGCGTTCTTCACCAGCGTTTTTTAGCCGCTTCTCCTCGCCTCCACCCACGGTTTTCCCTCAGTTTTTCTCCTTTCCTTATTCTGTTGTGTTTCTGAATGCATTTTCTGATGCCAGGTGGTGTTGAAGATGCTGAGCGAGATCGGCAGTGCGGACAAGATCCCCGAGTTCATCCAGGGCGTCAAGGACTCAGTTTCTCTCCCTTATTCCTCTGTTGTGATTCTAAATGCATTTGCTTACCACAGGCGGTGTTGAAGATGCTGAGCGAGATAGGCAGTGTGGACAAGATCCCCGAGTTCATTCAGGGCGTCAAGGACCGCAAGCGCCGCATGTCGGGGTTTGGGCACCGCGTGTACAAGAACTACGACCCGCGCGCCAAGGTCATCCGCGGGCTGGCCGAGGAGGTCTTCTCCATTGTGGGCCGTGACCCGCTCATTGAGGTGAGCTGCGAGGGGAGCGGCAGTGGGTGGCTCTCAGACGGGACAATCGTGGATTGTTTGGGATCGCATGTCGGGGTTTGGCCACCGCGTGTACAAGAACTATGACCCCAGTGCCAAGGTCATCCGCGGGCTGACCCGTCAGCTACCTGGTTCATTCCCTTGACACCGTGTGTTTGTGCGCTGCACTGTGTGTGGCCCTCACAGGTGGCAGTGGCGTTGGAGCAGGCAGCGCTGTCGGACGAGTATTTCATCAAGCATCTCTACGTGAAGCGACTGTACAAACAGTGTCCTGACACCGTGTGTGTGTGTGCCCTACACTTCGTGTGACCCCTGGCAGGTGGCAGTGGCGTTGGAGCAGGCAGCGCTGTCGGACGAGTATTTCATCAAGCGCAAGCTCTACCCCAACGTGGACTTCTACTCCGGCCTCATCTACCGGTCAGTCCCATCACGCCATGCCACACGTGCCGTGCTAGTCGTGACATGACATGTCCTTCACTCCCATGTCAGGTGTCTCATTCCAGTCGTCCCCTTCAAACGGAAAGCCCTGAGCCATGAACCTCACCACGCCAATGGACACCCATCCCTTCCCCCCCCCCCACCCCACACCACTCCCTCCCCCCCTGCAGTGCGCTGGGCTTCCTCACGAAGTTCTTCCTGGTGCTATTTGCCATCCGCTCTTTCCACCGGAAGGAGTCACTTCCCATCCTTACAAACACCTCAACCACCGCCACCCCTTCCCTCCACTCCCTTCCCCCCACTCCCCCCCTGCAGTGCGCTGGGCTTCCCAACGGAGTTCTTCCCGGTGCTCTTTGCCATCCCGCGCATGGTGGGGTACCTGGCGCACTGGAAGGAGTGCTTTGATGACCCCCATCCTTCAAACCCCTCCCAACCACCACCAACCCCCCCGTCCCCTCCCCCACTCCCTCCCTGCAGTGCGCTGGGCTTCCCCACGGAGTTCTTCCCGGTGCTCTTTGCCATTCCGCGCATGGTGGGGTACCTCGCTCACTGGAAGGAGTCTCTTGACGACCCCGACACGCGCATCATGCGCCCCCAGGAGGTGCGTTGTTGCAGGCGTCCCGTCCTCTCAGGGATTGTACTCTGTTTCCGGTATGCTGCTGCAGGTGACACATCAACGTGTCCACATTAGAAACAGCCATCTTAGTGTGCCAGTACATCACTGCCTCAGTTACACCAGTTATCTCAGTACACTACACACAATCACTGCACACATGGAGCAGTACCATGGCTGTCTCGCTTTCCCTTGCATTGACTTGTCACTTGCGTCTTGGAAACTTGCGTTTTCCAAACAATCCATTTATCCCTCCGTGCCCCGGCATCTCTCCTCCATTCTGTGTGTTGTCGTGTGAGCAGTGTTACATCGGGGAGTGGTTCCGCCACTACCAGCCGATTGCCATGCGCCCGCCGTCAAACGCAGAGGGGTTGGGTCAGATCGCTGTGTCAAATGCTACAAGGAGACGACTCGCTGCCATCTCCTCCAACATGTGATTTGACCGCCAGCTGCAGTGATTCGATGAATGAATATATGGGAAACTGGTTTCAGGTTCAGGGTTCAGGGTTCACTGATTTCCTCTTGTCCATCTTTATGCAAAAGTTCAACACGTATCTTGTAAAAAAATGCTATATCTGTTATTACAAGAGTAGCCACTACAACTAGGTTATCCCTAGTTCAAGCATTCAAATTTGCCCTTACATTTTGATAGTAAGGATACCTGAGATAACATGTTAACCAATAGCAGAAACCGGGGAAGACCAGAGTCTGTGGCGATAGATTGAAACGAGGATGGATGGAGAGGAATACCAATCGGCACTACCGCTGGGTGCCATTCTCTCGTTGCCTAGTTGAATTGCTGCGGTACTGCGATGCTGCTGCTCCTGACTCTCTCTCACATCTCTTGCCTGTAAAGCATACCCTGATTCTCCTCCCATTATGGGGTTCCAGGTTGCTTTCCGCTTCCGCCTCCACTGCGATCCGCCGCCGCCTCGTCGTCGCCTGGTTATGCGAGCCCGCAACCAACTTGCAGCTGCAGCAGCGTGCCGAGATTCCGGGACCGGGACCTCGACCTAGACTCTTGAGTCGACTCTACGGACCTCGACCTGGACGCTGAAGCGTCGGATGGTGATAGTTATGTCGTTCCTGGCAATGGCGTAACGTGGTAGAATGCTTTTGAGTCAACGCTAGTGATACTATCCACTGCCATCGCATAAGAAGTACATTCACAAACCGTGCAACCGTCGAGTGCGGGAGACATCGCCGCTAGCTGTCACCCGTAGCAGCGGCCTCGAGAGCCAACGATGGCCATTCGACTTCCCTCAGACAGAGTCTACACCTGCTCAGTCAGTCCCTCATACGCACCTACCCTGTGTCACTGGGATGGTCCCATGATGACAGGACTCGTGTGCACTTGCACGGCACACCTACCTCTGCTCTCATCCTCGGCGCAGCGGCCTTACAATGGTCGGACGGAAGCTTCCAGGCCGACTCGAGAGCGAATGAGATATGGTCGCGAGCCGTTGACTCGCTCGCGCCGCTTACCGTCCGTGCGCGGCGCACTACCCCATGCGCTGCGCTTGGAGAGTTGAGTTGAGTGTAATCGGGGTGACAGGGGCGGAATATGTAGAGAGGGAAGGGAGTCGGAGGGCGATATAAAGCTGGTAGAATAGGCTCTATCATTCACAGCCCTCTCTGCGTCATTCTCATTTGATCGTCGACTAGCGGGCGATTTTTTTCCACTACTTCGCTTCCTTCCCCCTCGGAGAAAGCATGGCTGTTCGTGCGCGAAATGCGGTTACCCCGAGGGCGATTTTCGCCAGCGGCGTCGCAGCACTGCTCGTCGCGTGTCTGCTGAGCGGCCTGAAGGCGCAGGCGGAGGGGCAGGCGGACTACGAGGCGCAGACGGAGTCGATCCTCCAGCAGGTGTCGCAGCAGACTTACCTCTCCGCCTTCTCTGAGATTTTCACCGACTTCTGTGAGCTCCCAACCCAACCCTCCATTACACTCACTGACCCCTACCAACCACTTATGGCCCCTTCTGACCCCGTCTCATCTCGTCTGACCCCTTCTTTGAGATCTTCACGGACTTCTGTGAGCTCCCAACCCACTCATCGACTCATCTCATCTCCTAACGCCTGATTTTTTCCGACTCCTGTGGACTTGGTCAGGCCTGATTCTCTCCAACATTTCTGAGCCTGATTCGTCATTTCACCCACCGCGTTTCTCTGATCCTTTTTTCTTGATCCCAATGTTTTGACAACTACTACCTAGATGCTCTCTTCCGCCTTCTCCCTGTTCCTCATTCTCCTCATTCCTCAACCCTCATCCTTCGTCCCTCATCTCTCCTCGCTCGTCCCCCCATTCATTGTGAGCAGACCAATCAGGCCAGCTGTACATAGACCAGCCGGCGACGCTGTTGATCCCCACCAACGTGGGGCACTGGCGCTACCTCACGCAGTGGAACACGCTCACGCCCAAGCAGAAGCGCCGCGTGCTGCGCTACCACGTGCTCAAGGGCCGCTACACCACGCAGGAGCTCCTCGACGCGCTGCCGCTCACGCTCTTCCCCACGCTCAACCAGAACCTGCCGCTGAACAAGACTGACAAGCCCAACGAGGTGTATTTCCAGTCCATTCCCCCCATGAAGTTCGCCTCTCCTCTCAGCGTGCCCAACGCGGGGCTCACGCAGAACCTGGCGGCACATGGTGTGACGTTTGTCATCCTGCCGCCCAACCTCAACTGCACCTCGTCTGCCTGCAAAAAGAGGCAGTTCTAGGCGGGGTGAGGTCTGGCAGAAGAAGCGGCAGCTGCAGCAGCAGCGGCAGCAGCTTTGGAGGGGCCTTTGCTTTGTGGGATGTGTATGCGCGGCTTCTTAGCTCAGCTAATGGCGTAGGGAAAGAGTGAAAGACCTTTGTGGAGTGGGGCAGCTTGTGGTAATCTTGGGTGCTGTTGATTTTGATGAACGAGCTATGGGTCAGGCAGGCATGCTGGTAGCGGATGTTGTATATCGTTCGTAACTGTCAAAATGAAGAATGGATGATGCATTGATGTTGGTTGGGGTACATATAGCTAACCCTAAGTTTTGTACCCCCTAAGACAAACCTCACTATAGGCTACAACATTTGACACACCCCCATAGCCTAAGTGAGGGGTGTCTAGCAGAACCAAAAGAGTACGGTCACAAGACCAGTCCAAGAAACGAAGCTCAGGGTGGATCACAACGTCACCACACAGTCCGAGCACAAACAACAGTGGCCACAAGGCCAGTCCAAGAAGTAACAGAGGTATATAGAAAGCAAAGTAAACAGTACACTCAAGTCTAAGCAACACGAGAACCAGTGTCAACAAGGCCTAACTGCACACAGCACCTCTGGTGGTCACAAGGCGGAAGCGCCTTGGTGAAGATGTCTGCAGTGTTGGCCTCGGACTCCACAAACTCAAAGCGAGCCTGTCCACGCCTCTGCAACTCTCGCAGAAGAAAGTACCTGACGTGAATGTGCTTCACTCTGCTCTCCAGTCGTGGCTCTCGACAAAGGAGAATAGACGCCTTGTTGTCAGTGAACAAGGTCGGTGCAGAGCTCGGCCGCTCACCAAGGTCGGTGAGCAAGAAGGTCAACCAACGCAGCTCCTGTGCCGCCATGGCACCAGCGTAGATCTCAGCCTCAGCTGTAGAGGTCGAGACCGAAGAGGAGCGCGTGGACCGCCAGGAAACAGCTCCAGAACCCAGGCTGAAACAGTACCCCTGAGTAGACCTGTGAGTCTCAGCGTCGTCAGCGTAAGAGGAGTCACAGTGACCAGTAAGTACGACAGACTGCTGCCCTCCAAGAACTAGCCCCACGCCTGACGTCGTCGCTAGGTACTTCGCCACCCTCACAGCTGCTGTCCAGTGAACAGGACGGTGTCTCCCTGGCGCAACAAAGCGCGCAAGAACGCTGAGAGGGAAGGCGAGGTCCAGGCGAGTACAAGTCATCAGGTACATGAGGCAACCCACAAGCTCTGCGTAGGGACCACTAGGCTCAAACGGCTCGTCAGGAAAGGGTCCAGTGAGTCTGTGGTCAACAGCAAGAGGTGTGCGCTGTACTGTGGAGTGCTGAAGCCCGAACCGCTGAAGGACCTGCTGCACCATGTGCGACTGTGAAAGTGTAATGGTGCGAGCAGCTCTGTCCCTGGTGATCTGCAGGCCAAGGTAGTGGCGCAGCTCACCAAGATCAGTGCAGGTGTGTCTCTTCTGCAGTTCGGACTTCACGTGTGCCAAAGCAACCCTGTCAGGGGTGGCGAAAACAAGGTCGTCAACGTAACAAAGAAAGGTGTGGGGCCACGACGAACGAACAGCGACGGGTCAGCAGAAGACGGCTGGAACCCAAGGTCAGACAGGGTAGAACGCAGGGTGTCGTGCCACTCACGAGGAGCCTGACGAAGACCGTAAACCGGTCGCCTCAGCCTCCACTGGGTCCCAGGAGGGAAAGAGCCAGTGAAGGCAGAGGGACGACGCAACCAGACCTCCTCGTGAAGACTGCCCTGAAGGAAAGCAGTAGAGAAGTCGAGAGAGTGTAACTCGTAGTCTCTCTGTGCTGCTACGTGTAGTAACACCCGAAGAGTGGTCATCTTCGGGGTGGGCGCGAAGGTCTGAAAGAAGTCAACTCCCTCGCGCTGACTGAAACCTCTAGCCACGTAGCGCGCCTTGAAGACCGGAGGAGATCCCGGTGGCCGCTTCACCCTGTAGATCCACATGCCGTCGACTACGTTCGCCCCCGGAGGGGGAACCTCATCGACGTAGGTGCCTGTGGATCTGTAGGAGGCCATCTCTGCGTCCATGGCAGCTCTCCACTGAGAGGCCCAAGGCCCTGACACTGCCTCAGCGTAGGTGCGAGGAGTCGGAATGTCAAGGGCGTCGGGGTCACCCTCGGGGGCGAGGAGCATGGCACAGAGATGAGGGGAAGCGGCCGCCAGGAACTCTAGCTCAAACTGCCTGTCCTCTAGGGCGTCACAGCCAAGGGCAGACACACCCCCGACGGCCAGAGGACTGGAAGGAGGAGCAGCCACAAGACCGGTGGCGAAGTCAAGGCGGCGGGTAGAGGCAAAGTCAGTGACTGCGGCAGTAAGAGCGGACACAGAGGACACAGAGGCACGAGGGTGAGTAACAAGCGAGGCGAGAACACGAGAGAGAACAGGACGGTACGTGCGGTAGTAGTCAGTGACAGGAGTAGGGAGCGACGCAGTGAGAGCCGACTCAGGAGGAGACGGAAGCACAGACGGAGACGGACGAGGTGGACTAGAACGAAGTAAGGCAGTACGAAGGTCAGTGAAGGGAACAGGAGACGAGGGACGAGCACGAGGGGAGCGACGAGAGGCCCAAGTCTGAGAAGGAGGAGGGGACAACGAAGACTGAGAACGAGGGAAAACAGCGGGAGAGGGGTCAGGAGGAGGAAGCGGAGGACCAGAGACGGGAGGAGAGGGGGAGGAGGAAGGAGAGGGAGAGGGGAGACCAAGGGTCCGAAGACCCGAGACAGGAGGAGGAGACGGCAGCTGCTGCTGCTGCGGCTGCTGCGGCTGCTGCTGCTCCAGCGGCTGCTGCCCCTGCTGCTGCTCCTGCTGCTGTCGCTCCTGCTCCTCGAGCCGCTGCAACTCTCTCTCCTCTCTCTCCAACTCCAGCTGCTCCTCACGAGCACGGCGAACACGAGCCTGGAACCTGGTCGGGTAGGGGTGGGGGGAAGGAGTAGTGTCCGGGGCAGCGGCAGCCCCAGAGTCGACCTCCGAAGCACCAAGTACACCACCCCCAGAGGCAGCACCAACACCAGCTCCAGACCCAGGCTCTCCAGAAACCGAAGGGACACCCTCACCCCCAGACGCAGCACCCCCAGACTCCGCACCAGCACCCCCAGACTCCGCACGACCAGTACCAGCCCCCGGAAGACAAGAGTCCTCTGCAACCCGCGGCTCAGCTCCAACTCCAGCACCCCCAGAACCAGAGACCTGTACAGGGACAGTCGCAGGACCAACCTCCCGAGAGGGAGCACCTGCAGGAGGCGGCGAGGAAGACTGTGGGGAGGGAGGCTGTACAGGGGGGGCTACCGAAGGGGGAGGGCTAGCCTGAGACACACCAGACGGGGCTGGACCAGGGGGGGGAGGCTGTACCGGGGGAGCAGGCGGGGGAGCGGCGGTCAGGAAGAGAGGGGGGGGAGGGACCGGGAGACCTCGACTGGGGTACCTGACGTAGTAGGGGGTGGACTCCTCGAAACGGACGTCACGGGAGTCAAAGAACCGGTGAGAGGGAGGGTGGTAAAAGGTGAAGTCAGAGGAGTCCTCAGGGAAACCAAGGAAGACACAAGGAACGGCGCGAGGCGAGAGCTTGTCCGCGGAGGTGTCGCGGACAAGAGCCAAGCACCCCCAGACACGAAACCTCGACGCGACACCAGGGGACCCTGTCCAAAGACTGGTCGGTGAAGCCTCCGGCCGAGAGACGCGTGGCCAGAGGTTCAGCTGGTGCGCGGCGTACCTGACCGCGTATGGCCACAGGAAATGGGGGGCACGGGCGTGAGTCAAGGAGGTGCGGGCAATCTCCATGACCAGGCCTATGCGACGCTCAGCAACCCCATTCTGCTGTGGGGACTCCGGAAGCGTCCAGGACTGACGAATGCCCTGTTCGCGACAGAATCCAGCGAGAATGCCGGAGCGAAACTCGCCCCCGCGGTCGGAGTGGAGACAGCTGACACGACGACCACGAGTGTCCTGGGTGGTAAGCAACCACCTGATCAGCGTAGAAGTCACCTCAGACTTCCTCGCCAGGGGGAACACTGTGGTGTAGCGGGAGTAGTCGTCAACGACCACCAAAAAGAAACGCTCACGCTCAGGGCCAGGGCGAGGAGAGGGGCCCCAGACGTCCAAGTGCAGCGTCTCAAAAGGCTCGGTGGCCGGACGAAGGGAGGAGGAGTGAGGGGTGGCGCGCAGCCTACCCTCGACGCAAGGACCGCACGGTGGTGCAAGGGACGGCGGCAGCGACGGCAAGACACGCGGGAGACCTAAGACAAGACGCTGACGAGACATAGCGCGAAGACGAGGAGGAGAAGGGTGCCCCAGCCGGTGGTGCCACAAAACGGTGGGGTGGGCAAGCGACCGACAGGAGCACGACGCAGCGACCGGACTAGACGGAGGAACCTGACAAGACACAGCTACCTGGGGGGACGGAGCAACCTGGTGAGACGCGAGGACTCGAACGGGAGGCAAAACAGGGGCCGGGGGCAGGAGGGGCGGCTGTGGCTGCGGCTGCGGCTGCTGCCGCTGCTGCTGCTGCTGCTGCTGCTGCTGCTGCTGCGGCTGCTGCTGCTGCGGCTGCTGCTGCTGCTGCTGCTGCTGCTGCGGCTGCTGCTGCTGCTGCAGTCGCTGCTGAGCGCGCGGGCCAGTGTGAAGAGTGTAGAGACCGGAGCCCGGCTCAGCAGCAAAAGTGGCGAGGGGCTGGTAAGAGTCCCCGTCAACACACACCGCAGTCTCTCCAGAAGGCTCAAACCACACACCCACGTGCTGACTCACGAGGGGTCGCACGCCCACCAAGTTCCGGGAGAACGAGGGGACGTGAAACCCAGTGAGAGACCCAGAAGGAGCAGCCGGACACGGCAAGGTGGTAGTGTGACGCGCGGTGACTGGTCCCGAAGTGGGATCAGCCAGCGCCACAGAAACAGGCGCAGGAAGAGGCGTAAGTGTCGTGCTGTCACGAAAGAAGCAGTGAGAGGCTCCAGAGTCCAGCGTGAACGACAGCGAACCGTCCTCTGAGGTAGCCGC